GGACGTGGCAGACCGCCAGCCCCAGTGTCACCATTAGGGAGTTTGGCTGCCCAAATGAAGTGGGGGTTTCTCAGACATGCTTGGTTCATCAGCATTACCCCTGTGCTAATGAGGCCATTGCCAGTGGCTTATGCAAGGAGCTCTTGCTGGGCACTGATGTGCCCCCGGCCCAAAACCCACCAGGAGCTTATGGCTGAAGCGGTTGTGGGTGATGCTAATCACCCTCATGGGTCACGGTCAAGCCGGGAATTTGGGGTGCTCGATAATCCTGCTTCTGGGAGCGATGGAGGAGAACAGCTCTTGGGAGGCCCTGCCTCTGCTCCCAGCTCTGCCCCACTACGACACAATGGGGGTGTCCGAAAAGACGGAGCTGATAGACTCAGAGTCTGACTTGAGCTGCAGGACCTTGGGGTGCTTGGGGTCAGGGAAGTCCTCGCCGAGGGCCAGGCGGATCTTGCCGTTCTGCGTCTCCCTGACGGGCTCAAGGAAGACCACATGCTTGTTGGTGCTGACCTTGCGGTTTGGCCCGTCGGTGGCGGGGGGAGTGGCGCTGAGGATGGAGGACTGGGCACTGCACTCCTGCGGCGGACTTCTTGCAGCAGCTCAGGCAGCGGCAGGGTGTGAGGTACAAGTAGATGAGCACAAGCAGCAGGCTCACGATGCACCCCAGCAGGGTCGTGAGGCCGGTGCTGAAGGTCTCCCCGTCTGGCTTGGGGTACTGGACCGTCACGTTGACTTCACACAGCCTGCTGAAATTGCGGGGGCTGTTGATGGCCAAGCCTACGTAGACCCCTGAATGCCAAGGCTTGGCTGCTGCGATCTTCAGGCTGCCGTTGCGGTAGACCTCCAAGGAGCGGTTGCTGTTCCCCGGGTGTTTGATAGGCTCGTGGTGAGGGGAGATCCACATGTAGGTGGTGGCCGTGGCCGGCAGGCTGGTGTTGCAGGCGAGCAGGAGGGTCTGGCCCACCATCACGGGGAAGGGCAAGGGGTGCACGTCTTCGGGGCCTGCTGAGCAGTTCTCAAACATGTGGCTGTATTTGAGGAACTTGATCAGGGACCGGGGCACGTTGTCAGACACCTTGCAGGTGTGTTCCTCAAAGAAATCCTTCACTGAGCTGAAACCTCGCTGCTTCCAGTGCTGGAGCATCAGGTAGAGCGGGCAGCTGCACCTGATGGGGTTGTTGTGCAGGTACAAGCCGTTCCTGATATTTTCGGGCAGAGCCGCCAGCTCCTCCACGGGGATGCTGCTCAGGCTGTTGGAGGAGAGGTCCAGCGTGCGGAGGCTGTAGTTTCCCAGCCCCTGCACCGAGTGGAAGGGGAAGGTGGTCAGGTTGTTCCAGCTCAGGTAGACTTTCCGCAGGCCACTCAGTTTGGTGAAGGCATTCTCATCCACGCGCGTAATGCGGTTGTTGTAGAGCAGAAGCTCCTCCAAGCTCACCAGTGCCTCAAAGTAGTGCGTCTCGACAGCATGCAGGTGGTTGGAGGACATGTCGAGGTGCCGCAGGTAGGAGGCATTGTGGAAAGCCTGCGGAGAGAGGTCCTTAATCTGGTTGTGGCTGATGTGGAGGGCCTCGAGGTGCGGGAGGGCGGCCAGCCAGCGGTCGTGGAGCCGGGTCAGGGCGTTGTGGCTGAGGTCCAGCATGGTGGCAGTGGGCGGCAGTGCCCGGGGCACGCGCTG